TTAGCAGAAACAGAAATCGATTTGGAACCGCCTACTTTTTTTTTAAACAGAAGAACTGTGCACTGCAGGACTGCAGACTGCTTTATTGCAGGGGTCTGCAAATGCACCGGGCCGGGAACACAGATTTTTCGGTAATAAATATGGCGAACAATCAGCATTTTATAGTTGTTTTTTGTTAATTAAAAAATGATATATGTATTATATGTATTTATGTATTTTTTTTTGAACACTTTGTAGTTTGTACAGTATGTACATCAAATTGCCTCCCTTTTACAAATAAAAATAAAAATGGCTATAATATAAATATTTAAATAAATACATATAAAGACGTTTTTAATTTTTATACGTATCAATTTACATATATATTTAAAAAAAAACAAAGGGGTTCTCTACCTCAGCAGCAGGTTAACAGTTCAGTACTTTCGCCAAAGTCTCCCTACGTGGGCCCATAAATATCGATCCTACCTTTGCGAATGGACCGGATGCGGTTTTGGACACAGGCTGGGCGTTAATTATTTTATAGTGACGGATGTCGTGTAGACAAAGTCAGATTACATCAAGTTTTATTTTTCCAGATTTTGTTTTGCTTTTTTTTTGAAAGTTTAAACTTAGCCTCCACCTATTGGTGTAGAAATATTCCGAACATAAATCCGGACTTAAAATCCGAACCCGTTAAAAATGGCAGCTGTATTTTAGGATGCAGGTGCCATATATTTTGAAAATCTTTCAACCCCTGTCCCCATGTCTCTCAATATTTTATTTTGAATATAGACGCAGCTATTTGATTGGGTTTCTCTCTCTTGATATTGTGTGATGTGTGCAAATATTAGTTGTTGTATTAGATAATGTGATATTGTGTGGCACAGTGTGGGTGTGCCCTGGGCCCCTGGGGCGTGGGCGCGTTCGGGCCGCTCCCTGTTGGGCGTGGGCTTTGAGCCTGTGTCTGTGAGTCTGTAATTCTGTCGTCTGTACGTGTAAGTCGGGGCCTCGAGAGTCAGGACTCGGGACTAGTAGGGGGCCGTGGACCGTGACTGTGAGCCGTAGCCGCGTAGGACGTTGGCCGTGAGCTCGTGAGGCGTGAGCTATATAGATCAACCAATTATTTATCATCCCTGTTACAAATACTATAAAAAATATATAAAAATACAATATAGCCTACTAGGCATTCAATCAGATTACATCTGCTAAGTCTGGAAGTGCTTGAAGAGCTATATAGAGAGTAGAAGCGATCATCGAAAGGCCAATAGCCCGTAATTTTCTTCAATTTGAAATTTAGTGATAAACAGATAAAGATTATGACTTTATAAAAATGTATGATATTTTGATGTTATTAATATTTTTGATATTATTGATTTATATCAGGACAAGCCCCCGGACTCTGACCGAGCACATACAAATAAACATAAAAGTGCATATTATTATTTTCAACGTTTTATATACGTATTTCTTATTTTAGGAAATACAAATATATGTACATATTTAAAATTAGGAATACTGTTATTTTATAGAATATGCCATATTTATGAAAAATATATGGCATATTTATTTCATATTTCATACTTTCCTAAAAATATATTTCGTTCATTTTTCATATTTACTATTTTTCTAAAAATATATATATTACATATTTTTTTTTCTCTTGTATAATTTCCTCATATTTATTTATTTCGTTCATTTTTCATATTCACTATTTTTCTAGAAATATATATATTACATATTTATTATTTCTCTTGTATAATTTCCTCATATTTATTTATTTCTCCTATATTTCCACATATTATACTTTTAAGAGCATATTAATATTATGTATTGACACAGCTTGCTATTTAGTATGAGTGACGATAGTTAATACTAAAAGTTACAAACACATTGATAAACAGTCCTTGAGTATGCACAACACATATGCAC